TAATGTTGACAGAGGTATTTGTACTTCGGTTACCTTTATGAAGGTATGTTGCCATGAAGTACTAACAATGAAGGGTTATCACAGCATGAAGGTTTATGCAGAAGGGAAAATATTCTTTAGATTTTTAAGGAAGATAGTAATTCTCGGTATATTTAGGCGGATCTATGACACTGATTTCCCAGGACTTGAAACAACACTTGACATGCATGAAGTCTTATCTTGCACACCAAATTTCAGTAGCCCTCCAGGACACCAAATTACCAATAGAGCAGAAGACATGATACAGTGGGTAGGTGTGCAGCTTTTAGAATAATTTAGAAAGATTATAAAGATTGAGTCTTTTTGCTCAAAGCGTTATATAATTTACCAGATAAAGTTTACCGCTTTTCTCCTCAAATCCCCCAAAGTGTGTACTGACAGACACCCTATTCTAAACATTATTTTAATTTTTTATTATTAAAAAAAAAAAAAACCCACAATTCTCATCACTCCTGATAAAGGAAAGATTCAGGTACTATAAAATTATGGTAGGAAAGGGCTTAAGAAAAATAAGAAAAGAATAGTCAAATGGGGAAAATACGCTCTCAAAATGGAACTCTTTGCTGAGAGCCACAGATGCAATACCTTGAGCCTCAGGAGAGCTTTAATTAGTACCGCTCTTTCTTCAGCGCATGCTCAGAAGCTTTGGTGCTGACTGTAAATTAGGGCAAGGAAATCCAGCAGGGGCCTGGGTGGGTTAAGGGGGAAGGGCAGGATCTTAAAGGGGCAACGACCATTTAAAAGAGCAACGTCAGTCGGAGCCACCATTCCTGTCCTGGGCTCTGCAACCCACCACTACCAATCTACTCCAACCTCTGTGTTCCCTACCTCAGTTAAGAGTACCTCCATCTTCCGAGTCATCAAGGTCAGAAACATAGGAATCGCTTCTGATTTCTCTCTCTTTTGCCTGTGCAAAATGCAGTCACTATCAATTTTTGAAATTTTACTTTAAATTTGACCTCACTTCTCCATCTTTATTATTATTGTTCTGGTTTAAGCCCTCAGGTCCTCATTTGGTTCTTGCCTGGGTCATTACAGCAGTGTTCCAACTGGTGTTACATGGTTTTAACACTGCTGTCAAGTCATCTTTAAAAATCATACCACTCTAGCTTAAAACACTTCAGTGGCTCCCTATAACCTGTAAGAGAAAGTTCAAGCTCCTTAGCAGTGCATACTTGGCCTCCATCAAGCCATCAGATCTTATTTCTGACAATCCACAGGTTATACTTTCTGTTCTCATGCTTCCCAACTGCTTTTAGCATATATGTCCATATACATCTAATATAAGATGAATTAATATATAAACTTTTAAGAAGATAAACTAAACTAACCCAATTTCTACTTAACAATTTAAGTTAGCTATATATCATATGAGTATTAATTTATAATTTTTCATTCCCCGTACATCATAATGTCAAAGAAAAATTTTCAAAAGTTAAACTGTGACTCCCTTACCAATAGAGAATGAACCCATGTCAAAGATTTTATTTTAACTGATGAAAGAACCAGTACTCTGGAAAAGCTGGTGCTAAGAACACCTTTCAGGCACTGGTAATTTAAGGCACTGGTAATTTCTAGAAAAAAATAAGTATGTTAAAATGGGATTTCTAGATTTGTACAAAACAAGTGAATGTTTTATAGGGTAATGAAATAATAGGTTGTCTTTTCTATTGAACATAATCTTTACATCTCTACCAAACAAAAATTTATATGGAACTGCAGAGTATCTGGACTCTAATTTGTAGTAAACACAAAGTTAACCACAGGTAAATTCTCTTAGAGTATTAAATAACTGTGGGGTTGGCCGTTAAATAATGCTTCATTACTACATTAGAAGCACACATAGTCTTCTTCTTACTTTCTTATTATTTCCAAGTGCAGGCTAATTTTTCTTAACAATAGAAGTTTTTAAATAAAACACTTCAAATTTTCTCCATCAATGGTTTAACACCACAACAGTAACTTCTTGAGTCACCTAACAAAGTTTTCCAGAATATAACATCTTTACGTCCTCTTATGTTTTCTCAGATAAAGCTTTCTTGGAATTGTTGGGGAGAAAACATTTTCCTTTAACCATTCTAAGTTCTTTGGCTGGTCTAATAACATAAGGTAGATTAACAGGAGAAAAACATTTAATTTTTTTCATAAAGGGAATATGAACAAGATATCCAAGGACAAGCTGGGCATTTGGGGCTTATATGCTATCCTGAACTAAAGAATGGGATAGGGGCCTGGGATTTCAAAGGGGTGAAGGGTAATTCATAGGACAGTAAGAAGAGCAAATGTTTGGTAATTAGATGTTTATCCTGCCATACAGATAAGTCTTTCAGATTAAAAAGTTATCTTTCGTAATCATTCTCTTTCTGGGATAGGCCTCCAATCTAGGTTCTTTTAGGTAGTTTAAAGGAGAGGAAATCTTGAGTCTGCTGTGCCTCTACTGCCTTCTGCTAAAAAGAGTGAACATGCGGAAGGGACATATTTTGGGGAGACTTGTTCTGCATCCCTTCAGAATCTTTTGTAGGTTCCTATGAGTTTGAAAAGAGAATAGAGGTAATTTTAAATAACAATGAACGTTGTAGAAGAGTGTACGGTCATGTAGATGTTAAAAATATAGGTGTAACTACCGAAATAATGATGATGATGATGATGATGGTGGTGCAATCATCATCATGATGATGGTGTAGATCCCCAAAATAGCAAAACGAGAAAAGGGCAGGATGAAAATGGCTTTCGGACTCCAACAGATTGCCAAGAAGGGGGAAAAAAAAGATGATGGAAAACAGAAAACAGAAAATGAAATGGTAGAAATAATTCCACATATATCACTCACAATAAGTATAAATGGATTTAACTCACATGTTAAAAGACAAAGACTATCAAATTGGATGGACAAAGAGACCCTCCTTCCATAAACATGCCTAGACCATAATGAACAAAAAAGGATGAAAATAAAAATTACAAGAAAAATAATACCAAAAACCCTTGGATGCAGCAATATTAACATTAGACAAAATAAAAATCAAGACAAAAAGCATTAAAAAAGAGCTATTTTATCATGATAAAAGGAACGATTCAATTGGTACTTTTATGAACCCACAGAAATAAAAAGACCTTGATAAAAACTCAAAAATGATAAACACTTCAGAAGATTTTGACACATTTATTAAGAATTGATATATCCAGTGGTAATACACATTATTTGAATACTACCAACGAGCTTGATCTAATTTATAGAGAACCTTACACCCAAACACATGGAGAATATTTTCAATACACTCAGTCCATTTTTCTAAAATGACTGCATACTTGGTCACAAGAAACCTCAAACAATTTGCAAGATTTAATATCAACTCTGTTCAAAAAGCATTTAAATACTTAAATTAGTAATCAGCAATAAAAGAATTGTTAAAAAATAGCAATAACATTTACTTGGAAACAAAAGAAAGAGAAAGAAAGAAAGGGAGGGGGGAAGGGAGGGAGGAAAAGAGAGAGAAACAGAAAAACTCAACAAATAGTTCATTGGTTTAAAGAGGACAGTGCATGGAATGGAATATTCCAAACTAAAAGCAACAAAACCACATGACAACACTTGTAGATCAGAACAAAGAGAAATGCATAACCTGAAATACAATTATTCTTTTAAAAAAGTAAAAATAAAAGCAAATAAGCTAAACTTTCAAGTCATGTAGCTAATAAAGGAATTATACAGTAACAAAAGTAAGGAGAAAAAGAATTCACATAATCCACAAAATAGAAAACAAATACAAGAAGAAAAACCGCAAAATAAAAATTGGGTTTTTTTTTTTTTTTAAAGATAAACCTGTAGCGTGACTGATAAGAGTGAAAAATAAACAATAAACGATGTTAACAATGAAAAATAGGGCATAAATAGAGCCAGAGCATGATTTTATAAAACCTTAAGAGAACAAGCTGAACAAGTTTATTACAGAACAGAAGTAACAGTCGATAGAGTAGAAACATTTTTAGAAAAAAAAAAAAAAAAAACTGATTTAAAGAAAGAAAGAAAGCCATAAAAATTTATGTAGTATCTCCTTCTATCTACCTCTGTAAAAAAAGGGATCACCCTGCAAAACTAGCCAATCCAGATGGCTTCAAGGAGAGCTTTATCAAACACTTCCACCTGGTTTCGGGAAACCACTGTGAGCTTCCTGCCAAATATAGACGAGGACAGTAGGAAGAAAAGAAAACCGCAGGCCTATCTCACTCTCTGAGATGTGAAAGCGTAAATAAAACATTAGTTGGTCACCTCTTCAGTCCACAGTGTGTTGGGGGTCATGGCTCCGACTAGGGAATAGTAAGCAGCTGTTAAAACCAGGCTCAGGAGGTGCGGGAATGAGGGGACTTAAGACAGGCGACCGGTCACTCTGCCCTGCCTCGCCAATGCTGCCGATCCTTCAAACACCTTGGCATCCATCACCTCCTGTCCCACACCTTCACCTTCGCTCTTTTGTACTTCCTTTTTCCTTCCTGCCTATTTCTGTTTGCAAATGAATCTCGCGGCTTTGCAAGAATTTGTTTACCGGTGACCTCTACAAAGCTAGCACAGAGTAGGACTGCAAACAAAGCCTGACCAGCACTCTTCCCTGAAGTCTCCAGAACGCCCCCAAACCCCCCGGATGTGGGCAACAGGACAAACAATGCAGGGCCGCCCCCAGGTCGCCCAGTTATCGCGCCCCCGCCCCAAGAGGGCTCGGGTGCCAACTGGCGCTGTTTCCGTGTTTCTCCATCCACGAGGATGCCTCACCCCGAGCCCACTTCCTCTTCCCTCGCCGCGAGACGGCGCGCCCAGCCATCCCGCTTGGACCCGGATCCCCACCAGAAAGCCCCGCGGCCTTGTACAGCTGGGGCAGCGCCCCGCCCGCGCAGACGCGCTGCCCCGCCCGCCCGCCAGCCCGCACGCTCCCGCCCCCGCCCCCGCCCCCGCCCCCGCCCCTTTCCGGCTCTGACCCCTCTCCCGCTCCCGCTCCGCTCAGCGGGGCCGAGCCCGGGCCGCCGGGCCAGGCTCGCCATGGAGGTGGAAGAGGCGTTCCAGGCGGTGGGGGAGATGGGCATCTACCAGATGTACTTGTGCTTCCTGCTGGCCGTGCTGTTGCAGGTGAGTCCCCCGCCGCTCCCCACCTCCAGCGCCCCGCTTCCCCGCCTCCCGCGAACCATCCTCCCCGCCCCCCCGCCGCGTCCCTGCAAACCCGGAGGGGCCGCGAGTCCCACTCCGCCCCGCGCGAGGGCCGGCCTGGGCCGCAGCCCGCCAAGGTCGCGGGCGGGCCTGGCCTGCGGTGCCCGCCCAAGCCTCAGAACCTGCCCCCTTGGGCGGTTCCGCCAGGCCCACCCATCCCGCCGCCTCGAGTGGGAGAAGAAGGGGGAGAAGGATGAGGGGTGTACTTCAGCCCTTGAGCTGGGGAAGAGATGATGCCCAGTTCCGCGGTCACCTGGACTGCACCGTGAATGCGCGAGGGAGTTGTTTCTCGCTTGTGGCTACGTCACCTTGGAATCTGGAGCACAGAGAGAGCTCTGATCACAGGCTCGCGAAGGTCCGGTCTAGAGCGGCCTCCTTCAGGTCTGGGTATCTGGATTCGAGGGGGCTTCGTGGCCAGATGCTTTCCGTGCAGAGCCTTGCTTCCTCTCCGCTTTAAGTTCTGCTGGGTCATTCTGCCCAGAGACCAACCTCGGGCGGAGACTTTTCTAAGTTGAATAATGCCATTTTACACCGCAAATGCCGGTTTTGTATGCTCAAGGTCACTATAGATACACTTTGCCAGGAAAGAGTTACTCCTCCTTTGCCCATCTAAATGGCCCATTTAACATCAATTACTGCTCCCAATATTCTAAAGGCAGTTCATTCACAAATTCTTTATTACAATCTGCTGTGAGTCAGTCATTGTACTACTCCTTTAGTCAACACATATTTAGTGAGTGCCTACCTACTACTATGTGCTTAGCAGGGACTACAGTGATGGATGAATGGAAGCCCCTTTCAGGTGAAGCTTGCCTTCTAGGCGCCGAGGGAGGTGGACAGGTAAATAAGTACAATGACCCTGTGATGATAATTATTCTAGGGAAAGTACCAGGAAGTCCTGAGTCTGACCACCACTCCACCAGCCAGTTGCTTAAACCTGGCATAAGGCAACGCTCAACAGGCAGATAGGGGTGTGGGGGAAGGTACAGATTGTCATACTGATTCTGTTTCCTGTTAAAATGTTCACAAGTTTAGTTGGTTCTCTCACCAGCCAGAAGAGCTGTTCCAATGATGGACAGATAGATGGTATGTGTCCTTTTTCTAGCAAAGCAAGTTCTCAGTTCACAAATATGCAATATTCTGAAGTTCCTTTAAGTTCATTCTTTCAGCTTTAAAAGTAATTTTCCTGCAGGAGAAAAACTATTTTCCTAAATCACAAAAGAATATTCAATACCTAGAAAATAAAATTGTATCAGAGATGCCTGTTGTTCATTTATAATACTTTTTCTTTGAGAAAATTCTTTTTCTTTCCTCTTCTAACTGAGAATTCCCGGCACAGGACTCCTTTTCCGAACAGTGCCATCCCTGCCCCTATCACTACACTCTGACTGCTGTCATTATCTTCTTACAGGCCTACAGAAAGTAAGTTTACCTTGAGGGGGTGCAGCACTAAAAAGGCTACTGATCTGGGCTCAGGACCCGTTGTTTCCCTCACTTACTTTCTTTATGGCTGACCCAGTTGGTTAGTGTTGTACCAAAGAACTTGAAACCTGAAAACATGACTGTTCACGGATGCCTGCCTGACATGTGGTCAGTATTTGCCATCAAAGAACCAGGTCTTAAGAGTGTTGGGAATGAGTGGCTTTATCTTTACGTGTGAGCTGGAAGGTGCCCTGTCGTCGTCTGTCCCAGCAGAATAGGTGCGTCACTCCAGGCAGAAGTGAATCCTTCCCAGCGGTACCTGTTTCTGAGGACTTAACCACCCTTTAAGATATGTAATCCACATGGTCCTGGGGTCACCTAGAGCTATCCTGGATGTGAGAGTGAATGGTCACCAAAGATCTCTCTACCAAGTCTGTTGTTGGAGATGGTTTTGGTGAGGGTTGGCCTGTGGAGTGGGAGTCTGGGAGCCCCATTACACAGTTGTAACATGATGCTTTCACCGTCTTGTGGAGGTTGCTTCTTCCAACAGAGAAAAAAGTTAAGAAGCCCTGTTCAGAGTAGGCTTAGATGGGAGGTTGATGTTTGCTTTAAAACCCAAAAACCCTGGGGTGCCTGATTGGCTCAGTTGGTGGAACGTTGATCTTGGTGTTGTGCGTTCGAGCCCCATGTTGGGTGTCAAGGACTTAAAAAAATAAAGTCTTAAAAAAAATAAAAAATAAAACCCAAAACCCTGGTCTCCTGTTGCCCAAGGAACGTAGAGACCACCTGTGCAGCAGCCCTGCCAGGGAGAGAGAGCCCTGCCTGAGAGCGCTGCACGTTGTGGATCGGACTGCCAGACAGAGTCTCTGCTACGGCAGGAGCCTTTCCTGCATCTGTGGTTTGGTAATGACCATCCCCAGCTGAGAAACACAGAACCAAAGGGACAGAGATGGCAAGTTTATATCCTCTTGAGTTTTCTTCCTTCTGGGGCCATTAGTATTATTTTTAATGGTTTAACTCCCTTTCCTTCGAACATATCCAAGTGCAAACTAAAAGGACAAAACCTCATTACAAAGCCGACTCTTAAAGGTCTTTAGGTTAGCTGTTTTCTTGGATTATTGATAGCATCATGTGGCCCATCAAAAGTTACGTCAATATCCAGTTTCCTTTAGCTAGGAGACAAATCTTCACACTCCTTGCAAACCACAATCTTTGGAATCTCTGTAGTGGTCAACTTTCAGATACGAAAAGAACAGAGGCAGATTTTGTAGATTTCTCTTCGTATGATAAGATGCAAATGCCCCTCACAATAGTGCTGTGCGGTTTAAAAATACAGGAGTCAGAAGCTTAAAGGAAAAAATAATTGCCTTATGTAAAAACAGTTATCTTATGAACAAGCAGTAATAGTTTGTTTTGCAGTTAGAGAAATTCTTACTCTCCAGATATATGTGCCTTCCCTTGGGTAAGAGCTATTTGTGGTACGTAAATATGAATAATTCTACGTACTTTATTTCTGTTTCTATTTCCTGACAGTGATTCAGACTTGACGCCATCATCATTATTTGGTGTTTGCATCTGTGTATATTCCTTTGCCAGGCTGTCTGGAGGAGGAGTGTTGGAATACAATTTTTTGTTTTTGGATCCTTTTAGACACAAAGTGAAAAGGGATCCTACTTCTTTGTTCTGAGCCATAGACTCCAGCTCATTCATCTTCCTAGGGATCACGAATCACAGATTGTAGTTTGATTTGCACAGAATTTAAAACATCCATTAGCCAACATGTAACCTGTAACAAGCATTAGTTTCACCAGCAAAATTGTTATGACACTGTGGACCTGAGCTTGAGGTACAGGCATCTGGTATTCTGGAACGCATTATTTTAATGTAAATGCTTAATAACCCCAACCTTATTTATTAGATCCTGGAGCTATCAGCGCATTTAAATCATTCATGCAATAAATGTCTTTCCATGGTGTCTTAGAAAGAGGACTGATTGACCAGGTAGTGTTGCCGAAGAGGAAAGTACGTCAGTCAACACGTGAAAAGATGTTTACCTTCACTGGCCATTTGAAACAGGCATATTCAAATGACTATGAAATATCATTTCGCACTTACTAGATTAGCAAACATTAAATAGTCTTACAGTCCAGGTGTGATGAAAATGAGACATAGGAACTACCGGTTTAGAGAACTAGTTGGCATTGCCTAGTACGATTAAAACCAAGCATTGGACTCCTAGGTGTGTGTCCTCCCAATGTCTCTTGAACCTGGCACAAGGAGATCTGTCCAGGATGTTTATTGCAGCACCTTTTGTAATAACAAAAATGAGTAACCACCTAAATGACTCTCGGAAAGGGACCAGATATTTAAAGTGTGGTATAAATTTGTTAGAATGTGAGAGTTAAAGTGAATGAACCAGATCTATAAATAGCTACAGGAATGGATTTCTAAAACCCAATGTTAAAGGAAAAAAATAGCCATCAGGATGTATACAATGTGACACATAACTTCATAAAACTTTGTAAAAACATAGGAGACAATACCATATTTGGTTTATGAATGTATATGGACAATGAAGAAGTATAACCTATAGAGTAGAAGGCTCTACACCGAATTCTGAGATTGGTTACCTCCAGGGAGGAAGGGATGGGTGGGAACGGGTGGGCTGCAAAGGAGATTTGCTCTGTGTTCATAATAATTGTATTTTAAAAATCTGAAGCATATATAATAAAGTGAAACTAGTTAGTTGTGATGGCGGGTTCATGAATTTTATTTTGTTTTGCTTCTCTGTGTTAAATTTTGAAAAAAATGGTATAGAAAAGAAGATGTGCTTACTTAGAAGAAAATGCTACATTCACAGTATGAGATTAACCGTCCACTCTCCTTTTGCTATTCCTTTAACCAGTTAGCGCTGGGAATTGTGGTATGTGAGTTTAACATTTAGGAGCGTGAGGTAGAGGGAGTTTTGTTCAGGGTGCTTTATTAAACTCTGTGTAGAACCACTGTCACAATGAATGTGTCCCACCTGCTTGCCTTTGCCTCTGTGTCTGAGTCTCCCCGGAAGATTCATGAAAAGGCTTCTCTCCGTGAGGGGTCTCTGAGGTGGTTTCAGCCTCTCAACCACAAGCAGGTAATGAAGTTCCTACCGTCCATATTAGTGAAGACCTCACCCAGTTAGTCATTAGGGCCAGCCCTTGTGCCTCAGGGGCTTCTCACCAGCACCAGGGGGTCAGCCGTGATGAGAATGTAGGGCATTAGTAAGAGCTGCTGTGTCATGACTCCAGAACAAGGGAACCTCTACCAGGGTTCTCTGCTAGTCTGAGCAAGTGTTACACTGCCCTCACCCTTAGATTTAGTTCTGTCTGCCCTCAGTGGCCGTGAGTTTGGGTGATAACCCGGGGAACCTTTGCTGGTGTTCTTCCATCCCTTTAGATGAATGGGGCACCATAGTTCAGAGAGACCAGAGCTATGCTTGCCCCCCAAGTCTGGCCTCAGGAAAG